ATCAAGCCTCCTAACACGATACTAGGAATCATAATAATAACCTAGACATGATTTGTATATCATAATAACAATGCAAACAATTAAAGCACTTACTTGGATGCCTCGTACCTCTTTCTAATAAAAAAATGCACGCGTTAGTAACTTCAAGGAAAATATAAAACAAACAATTAAATTAAAGAATTAAAAGAGAGATTTGGGACCAAAACCTCAGAAATTAAACCTTTAACGTCTAGGGCGAAGGCTACTTCGAACTTGTCTAGGTGCGTCTAGATCTTGTGAATGTGGAATTTTGTATGAGAAAAGCTAGTTTAGAAAAGAGAGAGAGAAGATATCAAGAATTTCTTGATGAGAGTTGGTAATAAGAATTAGATGAGAAGAATTGAGAATTGATGATCGAAAACGAAGGTTTTAGGAGGCTATTTATAGAGAAAATCAGCCGGATATGATAAAAAACGAATTAGAGTTTCGAAAAGAATAAAACACGACGCTCTCGTAAAACACACAGTTGTCGCCAGACGATAGAACTATCGCCAGATACCAGGTCTATCACAAGGTGACAGACTTGTCGTACAGCGCTGCAATCAGTTTTCCACGCATTTTCTTATTTTGATAAAATTTAAGCGTACGAGAGGGCAAAACTGTAATTTCCTTAAAAACATTTCTTTTATTCTAATTAAAACTCTTAAAAGTCAATTTATCAATTCTAATAAAATTAGGATTCAAAAGAACCTTCTAGAAGATTCTAGAAGACTATAATCAATCTTTATCACATTAGGAATGATAAACTGTAATAGGCCCTCCTCTAGATCATTGGGCCGCATAAAAAGATCAAACCGGGCCCAGTTTAGTAATTTGGCCATAACTTCCTCTTTATTCATCGGAATTAGGCTCATAATATATCGTTGGAAATCTCTTTTCGGACCCGACCCAACTACACTATTATTGGACCCTTGCCATGGACCAAACTAAACTGGATTGCACGTTTTTCAAAAATAGGGTAAGAAAAGAAATATTTTCAAAAATAGAAAGAAGAGATATTTAAATAAAAATATCCTCATCACTAAAATTTTCACACTTTTTCTTTATTCGATAATCAATGACATGAAAGGTATTCATCACTGGGTTTGATTTTGGGGAGACACGTTTGGATGTCTACAAGGGTGTATCTGTGGATCATGCGAAGATTAACGCGGTGAGTGAGTGGCCTACACCTAAGAATGTGACTGATGTTCGTAGTTTCTTGGGATTAGCTGGGTATTATAGAAGGTTTGTTAAAGATTTTTTGAGGATAGCCAGACCCATGACTACCCTTATGAAGAAGCAGAGCAAGTTTGAGTGGAACGAGAGTTGTGAATCAGCTTTTCAAACCCTCAAAGAGAGATTAACCATTGCACTAGTGCTAGTATTACCTTATGGGAGAGATGGATTAGAAGTGTATAGTGATGCCTCGAAGCATGGTCTGGGATGTGTCCTATAGCAAAATGGAAAGGTGATCGTGTATGCATCGAGACAACTGAAGAAACATCAGGTCAACTACCCTACCTATGAATTTGAGCTTGCAGAAGTTGTGTTCGCTTTGGAGATTTGGAGGCACTACCTTTATGGTTTTTCTTGCAAGATCTTCACGGACCATAAGAGTCTAAAGTACATCTTCACCCAAGATCACTTGACTATGCAGCAACGTCAATGGCTAGAGTTTCTCACAGACTACCATGTCCACATCTAGTATAATGAGGGAAAGGCGAATGCTGCTGCAGATGCTCTTAGCAGAAAGTCAAGCCATAATGTCAATGCTTTAATTGTGGCCAATGAGTTGTGTGAGGATATGAGAAGATTAAACCTTGAGGTTGTTAATCAAGGAGAGTTAGAGGGATTGTTGAGTGCCCTGACAATCCAACCATCCATATTTGAGGAGATTATAGTGAAGCAGTTGGAAGATGAGTCATTGCAAAAAATCAAAGATCGAGTGACTAGTGGTGTAGAGACTGAATTCAAATTCATGAAGACAGGATTCTGCGATATAAGGAGAGATGGTGCATACCACAGAAGTGTGAGGAGATAAAAAGAAAAATCATGGAGGAGCGCCTTAATACACCATATTTAGTTCACCCTGGGGGAGATAAGTTGTATAAGGACTTGAAAGAATTTTATTAGTGGTCGAATATGAAGAGAGAGGTTGCTGAGTTTGTATCAAAGTGTCTGACGTGCCAGAAGGTAAGATAGACCACAAAAGACCCATGGAAAAATTCCAACCAATAGAAATACCAAGTTGGAAGTGGGATTCCATATCCATGGACTTTGTGACAGTCTTATCAAAGAATCATACTGGGAATGACACGATTTGGGTGATTGTGGACAGACTTACTAAGTCAACGATGTTCATTCCTATCAAAGAGACCTGGAAAAAGAAGCAGCTAGCAAGTGTCTATGTGAAGAATGTAGTTCAGTTGCATGGAGTTCCCAAGGACATAGTGTTAGATAGAGACTCGAGGTTTCCATTAAAGTTTTGGCAAAAAGTGCAAGAGAATCTTGGAACAGCATTGAAGATGAGTACTGCCTTTCATCCATCAACAGATGGTCAGACTTAGAGAACAAACCAAACGATGGAGGATATGCTACGATCTTGTGCTTTAGATTTCCAAGGGAATTGGGAGGATCACATACCTTTGATCGAATTCTCCTACAATAACATTTACCATGCAAGCATCAAGATGGCACCATTTGAAGCATTGTATGGAAGGAAGTGCAAAAGCTTAGTTTGCTAGAATGACTACAGTGAACGGGTAACTTTGGGAATAGAGTTCATTGAGGATATGGTGAGCAAGGTGAGACTGATTCAGTCGCGTAAATAGGCAGCACAAGATAAACAGAAGAGTTATGCCGACTTGAAGAGAAGGGATGATGAGTTTATTGTTGGGGACAAGGTCTTTCTAAAGGTTTCTCCAACAAAAGGTGTGATGCGATTCGGCAAGAAAGGGAAGCTTAGTGCAAAATATGTGGGTCCGTATAAAATTCTCCAACGTTTGGGGAAAGTGGCTTACAAATTGGCTTTGCCAACGGAGTTCGAGAAAATGCATGATATGTTCCACATTTCCCAATTGAAGACATATGTGCCTAGTGAAACCCATGTTTTGCAGCCGGAGACTATTTAACTAGATGAGTCTCTAACTTATGAAGAAAGACCAGTCAAGATACTAGATCACAAGGTGCGTAGTACTAGAACCAAAGATGTGTAGATAGTAAAAGTCCTTTGGGCGAACCAGGAGTACAAAGAGGCTACTTGGGTGGCCGAGGAAGAGTTGTGGAACAAGTATCCCGAGTTATTTGACGAAGTGAGTTACGAGGGTGTAACTCTTTTCTTTTGAGGGGGGTAGAATGCGATGTAATTTTGTGCTTTTACCTCAACTATACCATTTATTGTTTGATTTTGAATGCTTATGATTATTATTATGCATTACTATTGCATTTACATATAACAAAGTATGTAAACTCTGGCCAAGTATGAGTTAATTAAGTACAAAGTTCAGTTTGTTGACTATGCATGTTGAGCATCAAGCAATTTACAGCAATACAAAACATAAAAGTTTGAACAATTTTGGGGAAATTATGGTTTTCGGGTTAAGTTTCGAGGACGAAACTTCTTTTAAGAGGGGTAGATTGTAATCCCCCATATTTTCAACTTAATTATAATGTATTTAATTATTTTTTATACAAATATTTTTATATTTGATTTTATACGTATGAATTATAAAGTAATAATATTTTCATTATTATTAAACTAAAACTATTAAGTTTTTGGTTGAAATTAAAATCCCCTTTTAAGTTTAGTGGCCTAGAACACTAACTTACTCAATCCCTAACAACAATCCTAATTCTACTTGGATTAGGAAAGTTAAGCCCATACTTTTACAAAAACATAAACCCTTAAACCCACTTATTTCCCCTCAATTCTCTCCCCTTCTTTCACGTGAAAACAAAAAATAAAAACCCTCATACTCCCTTCTCCTCTTTCACGCACACAGCAAAAAAAAAAAAAAAAAAAAAAAAAAAAAAAAAAAAAAAAAAACCTTGAAGATGTTGCCTCTGCTCCAGACGCACCATCACCGCCGCCAGCCGCACCTCCGGCCACCCGACGCACCACCTTACAGCCGCCGCTCGCCCCTCTTCTTCCTCTCTTCCTTTATCTCTTTTTATTGCTTTATTATCTTAACTAAATTGTTTAAAGTTTCAACCTTTAATAAAAATTTTGTTCTAAATTATATTATTATGGTTTAGCATGTTTAATTTATGATACAAAATTTCAGATTTTATGTTATGTATAATTTAGGGTTTAATGTTAATTTTTCATGGTTTAGGGTTTAAAAAACGTGTTAAGCAAGTTAATTATCAATACTATGATTTCATAATGACAAAACCCACAATTTTATACTTAAAATTAATTTTCAAATTATATATTTGGTGAAATTGGAGATTTATGTTGTTTATTTGAAGGGTTTTAAGGTTTAATGTGTAATACACTATTCTAACTATTGAATTATGAATGCAGATCTTCAAAAGTTTGAAACTTATAATTTAAATTATTTTCCATATTTTATGTAATCTGATTTTTAATAGTTTTGAGCAAAAAATAAAGTTTTAGAATGCTTCTATATGTTTTAAACAACTATTTATGCAATATGATAAGTATAGATTATTTGAATTGCAAAAACTATTAATAAAACAAATTTTCAGCATATGTTAGTAAGTTAAACTTGCTGTAATTTTATATTATACGCTATATTTTCATGATTTTAACATATAAGCTTATAGTTGGGATGTTATATTATTATTATTGACTAAGGGGAACAATTTAAAAGTTTTATTTTGATGATTTAAGAGATTTTAAAGTGGTTTAGTATTGCTGTAAATTTATTTGCCTGGGCATTGATTTATTTCTCATTGTTTGTTTTCACGCTATTACTCATTTTCAAAAAACATTTCAACAAAAAAGTGCAACATGGATGGAAGAAAATTCAGCAAATGATGCACAAAATGCAAACAAATATCAACAGAATAAATCAATTTCACACAATTATTCTGCATCAACATCCAAAAATTGTACAAGCTCAATTGAAGAAAATGAAACAAATGGTCTAGAAATTCAATCAAATGATCAACAAGCACAGAATGATCCTGGAAAAGCATCAACAAGTTCGACTAATGAATCTATTGTAACATCTGAAAAAATAGGTATTCTAATCTAAATTTATTGCTTAAAAATTTATAAATCTATATATTTTAATATTCATATACATTTGAATTTATATAAAAACAAATAAATGTCAATAAAAGCAGAGCATTATTGATCATATAATTTGTTAAAAAAATATGGGATAAATGTCTGAGTAAAAAATAAATAATTATAGATGAACATTATAAACCATATCATCTAATTTATAAATTAAAAAATATCTTCCATACAAAACAAAAACAAAAAAAAAATCAATATGTAATATCTTAAATTATAATAATGATATCATATATCTCTATCCCTATTGACTATTTAATAAAATAATATAAAAGATGTCAACAATAGAAAATATATTGCATTGAATAGAGGATATTATTTATAGAATAAAATATTTCATATACATAATAGAGGATATTATATAGTGAATAGAGGATATCGTTGACATTAAATTATAAAATACTACTCAAATAGAGGATATCATTCACATAAATTGAGGATATGCTACTTATAATAGAAGATATCATTCACATAAACTGAAAATAAGGTGACTGAAATTAAGAAGATCATTAATAGAGTTTAAGATATGATTAATTGCATACAGGATATAATTATTATTAATGTTTTCAATTGTAGATTTGGATTATTATAAATATGATAATGATGAAAATATCAAGTTATCTTTGATGGGAAGACTTGTTGATAACCATGAGGATGCCTTACGTATGTATAAAGCTCATTCAAGAGCTATTAGATTCAGTGTAAGAAAAAATACTGTAAGGCGAAATAAAACAGATGGAATAGTTTCTAATTTTTATTTTTGCTACTCAAAAGAAGGACATACAAGAGAGAGAAAGAAAAAAGAAATGGATATAGCAGATTCAGAATTCATAAGTGAGGAAAAAGAGTCATTAAAGAAGAGAAAAATAAGGAGTGTTAATGAGACTAGAACTGGTTGTAGAGCTAACATTAGATTCAAGAAGATAGACTCTGGAGAATATTGTGTTATTCAACACAATATAAAACACAATCATGAATTAGTGAATCCTTCAGAAAGACATCACTTAAAATCTGAAAGAAGTGTTAAAGAAGAGATTGGATTGGTGATCGAAAAGATGGTAGAGATTGGAATTAAACCAATGGACTGCTATGAATTTCTTAAAAGAAAAGTAGGATCAGAGGAAGATTTAGGACACACAAAGAGAGATCTTTTAAACTATGTAACTAGGTACAAATCTAGCATAATTGAAGGAGGAGATATGCAAAGTGTACAGGATACACTACAACAGAGAGCAGAATTAGATCCTTCTTTCTTTTACAGATTAAAGTTTGGTGAAAAAGATTATATAGTGAGCTATTTTTGGCGTGATTCAATGATGTTGGAAGATTTTAAAGCATTTGGTGATGTATTAATATATGATACCACATATAAAACCAACAAATGTGGTTTAATATGTGCACCATTTGTTGGAGTAAACAACCATCAAAGAACAACAATGTTTGGGTGTTCTTTTATAACTAATGAAATTACAAATACTTTTGAATGGGTACTTGAAACTTTCAAAAAGTCAATGGCTAGATCAGAACCAAGGACAATTTTCACATATCAAGATCAAGCAATGAGCAATGCAATTGGAAAGATAAGATATTAACCAAAGTTGATATACATATATATATAATCTTTGTGCTATATGAAGTTTTTCAATTTCAGTTGAATGAAATATATAATTAAAAATAGATGATATCCTATAGAAATTGTATGATATCCTCTAAAAAGTAGGTGATTTTATTTACAAATTTAATGGTATCCTCTTAAGGCTTTATGATATCCTATAAAGTAAAGATTATATCCTCAAACTATATAATTTATTGTTATAATTATATAAAAAAATTCAAGTTTTTCCAAAGACAAGACATAGGTTGTGTTTGTGGCATCTGCAAAAAAACATAATATCAAGATTTGGCCAGCTGAAAAGCAATGAAGATTTCAAGAACATGTTTGACAAATGCTTATGGCTGTGATGATAAGAAAGAATTCTATAAATGTTGGAATGATATGGTTCAAAAGTATGGATTAGAAGAGAAAGAGTGGTTTGATAGACTATATAACCTAAAGCAAAAATGGTGTCCTGTGTTTAGTAAAGACATTTTTTCAGCTGGAATTTTATCCTCTTAAAGATCTGAAGTTACAAATAATAATAATCATTTAAGGTCAACAAAACAACTTCATTATATGAATTCTTTCATATATTTAAAGCTACAGTTGAGAGGTGGAGAAGAATTCAAGAGGCAGATAACTTTAGATGTAGAACAGAAAAGTCAAAGACAAAATGCAAACTCTTAAAACGGGCTGCTGAAATCTACACTCTCAACATTTTTTAAGATTTTGAAGAGGAATATGACACAAGTATGAGATCATGTATTAGAGATGTGTCAAAATAAATTAAATGACAGCAGGTCTAAAGATGTTTGAAGTACCTTTGAATGAGGATTTCAAATACAATAACAGTGTGTTTTACAATGATAGTCTGAAGGAATTTGCATGTTCCTGCTTATGTTTTAATGAAACACGTATATTTTTTCCTGAATTATGATTATGACTTATCTTAAATTCAGTATATCTTATATGTACTTTATAATTATGATGATTATGTGTTCAATTCTATTTGATAATGTCATCTATTTAATATTTGATTACCTATAATGTGATGATGATGTCCTATATTTAATGAATAATGACCTATATTATATTTGTGATATTCTATATAATGTACATTATAATCTCTAATCATTTAACTGATATCTTCTATTATCTTGTAAGATGTCCTCTATCTAATGAATGATGTCCTCTATTATGCTTATAATATCTAACATTCAATTCTATTTTAATTTCAGTTCTCTATTAATGATATTCTATATTATATGTTACTAATGTTTCAATGCAACATGTATAACTTGTTATCATATACTTAGGGTAATGCATATGCATAATGTATTCACCATTCTTGCAAAATACATTATGAAAAGATGGAAAAAAATGTAAAAGCTTTAATTTGGGATGACAAAGAAGGTATGTTTAATATAATATAATGTATTAGTAAAAAAGTATTTAAAATAATTACTCAATTATATAGTTTAATATATATCCTGCAATAAACTTTACATTTCTTTTATAAATATTACACTATTTATATGATTTGGGGTTAAATAATTCATATCCTGTAACATTTTATACATATCATCCATTATTTAAAAGATATTCTGTAACAAATTATATATATCATCTATTAAATAAAAACATATCCTCTAACAAATTGTAAATATCATCCATCAAACTATACATATCCTCTAATAAATATTTTATATCCTACAATAAATTATATATTAAGGATAAACTTTATCGAGGATACAGTACTTTATATTTAAGATACACTGAGTTAGATTGAGAATATAATATTGTCTACTAAGATTAAATTTTAGTTACATAATTTTTTTTTTTTACTTGGATGAGGATGCAATAATCTCTATTGAAGATACATTTACTTAGATCGAGGATACAATGATATCTAGTGAGGTTACATTTTAATTACATTAAAGTTGTTCCAGAAGTTGTTATTCATTCTGTAAATAAACGTTTTAAATTTCGTAATTTTCAGAAAATGTTGAAGAAGTTGCTACCATTATAGATACTTCATGGAGACACACTATTGCAAGAAATTTCTATAATTTAGTATACATTTGTCAAACAAATGATGATGCTAAAAAAGTGTGTTATGAATCTCTTGACAAAATGTATAAGGCAGTCAAAAAAAGCATTTCAGATTGATGAAGAAAAGATCAAGAAAATCAATGAAGAAGAGGAAAGAAGAAAAACAGTACCTAATCCTTTACGTCCAAAAACAAAAGGGAGGTCACTTTGAGAACCGAAAGATAGCTACAAGACATGCTAATGAATTTGGAACAAAAACTCCAAATCCACAACTAATTTATATATGTTTTGCAAAATATTTCTATAATATTTTAATATATTTGACCATTTGACTTTTGTCCACTATAGTATTATATAAATTATATATCCTACAATATATCTAAGTACTAATTAATTACATATCATTTGTATTATAATTGATATTATACAAATTCTGTATTGTATTTATCATATTAAAACCCAGATTATTTAATTGACAGATACTTTATCGTAAAAGCATATCATGTATAAATTAATGTAAAATTAATTAAAAGAATACAACAAAAAAAAGCCAGTAAAGAAATAATTAAAACAAACAAAGAAATCATTTATAAAATAGAGGATATATAAAGCACAATATAGGACATCATAAAAAATAATAGAGGACATCATCAAAGGAATATCAGAAATCATAAAGAGAATAGAAGACATCATTCATGTGATAAAAGAAATAATAAAGAGAATGCAAACATTAATGTCCAACATTATAAAACATCGTCAATATAATAGAAGACATCATCAAGAACACAACACGTCATCAACAGAATAAAAGAAATCATCAATAATATAGTGGACATCATCAACAAAATAAAGGACATCCTATTTTCTATAAAGAACATCATTAGAAAGGAAAAAAAAAATAAAAATCAGTTAAAGTATTACACCAATAAAAAATATAATGTCCAACAATAAAGGAAATAATAAAAATAATATAGGAAATCATAAAAAATAAAAGTAAACACATAACTATAAAACAAAAGAAGATAATTACAATCTGTAAAATAATTACAATTGAAATCTATTACAAAATTATAAGAAAACATATATATATATATATATATATATATATATATATATATATATATATATATATATATGTATATATATATATATACCTAAAATTACAAATTTTAATGTTTGTATGATTCTACTTTATGCTGTTTACTAAGTTTTGTAACTAAAGCTTTGGCTTCTCGTTCTACTCTTGCTTGTTCAGCATAAAACAAATCTTCCTCTTTCTTTCTAATTTTCTACTTAGAATTTCTTTTTTCTTTAGACAAAAATTTATATAATCCGCTCAAATAGAATCAGCATAGAAGTTTCTAGGGCTTAATACCAACTCCAAAGCTAGTTTACACCTAAAAATCTTTCTATTGACTTTATGCAAAAAAGAAAAAAAGAAAAAAATAAGAAAATATAAAAATAAGATTAAGTTAAAGTATAGCATATCATATCCTCAATTTATATTAAAAAAAAGCACATATAGTTTAACTCAATATGATTTTATCTACAGGAATAAAGGATATAATATGAAGAAATAGAAGAAATTATCATCGAAATATAAGATATACACACAAAATACAGGAATTAGAAAAGAGACATGAACAAGACTATAGAGGAAATCATTAAAATATTACAGGACATCATTAAAATATTAGAGGATAGAATCAAAATAATATAACACATGATCAACAGAAAACAGAACATCATCAGCAGAATAAAAGACATGATCAAGAGAATAGAAGACATCATAAATACAACAGAGGACATAATTTATACTATAAAAGACATAATTAATAGAATGTAAAAGGTAAAGTAATAAATTACCGAATTCAATTCTGATAGTGTTTCATTTCGATCGCCATTATATAACTCCATAACTTTGATTAAATAGAGACCACAATCAAAATATTCGTTTGATGACCTCCATTTAAAATTAAGATACTCAGTGCCCTAGTTTTTAAGATTAAACAAAATAGGATGTTTGAAAAATTTTCAACCAGCTGAATATACTGCATCAATCTACATACATAATTAAATATTGAAGTTAATAATGGAAGATAAAATATATTACCTACATAACATATTAAAAGTACTTACCAACAAATCATCTCCAACCTTATATTTTATAATTTTATCCTTTCGGTTGTCAATGATCTCAACTGCAAGACTTCTTTTCTTATTTCCAATAGTATTTATCATAATATTTGCATAATGATTGTGCTTATGAACAGGGAAAAAATCTTTAAAAAATTACACGATATTATTAAAACAAATGAGGAAATAATCTATCCAATGCAAAGATATAATAAACCAATAAAGAAATAATATATCCATTGCACGATATCATGAAATCAATAGAGAATTTAATTAATGTAAGACAAAATCATCAATGACATGGAGCATTTCAGAAAAGTAAATAAAAGAAATGACATATGACAACACGGGATATTAAAAACAAAATAGAGGAAATCAAGAATAATAATTTAGGATATCATAAATCAATTCAGGATATCAACTACCCATATAAATACAAATCTATCCATGAAGTATATAAAGAGAGCAATAAAGGAAATAATTTAACAAACGCGGGATATGATAAAGCAATAAAGGATATCATTAAAACAAAAATAGAAATAACAATACATGATATCATATAACAACTAGAGGAAATCATATACTTATATTCACGATATCATGAAAGAAACAAAAAAAATCATCTATCAAATGCAAAGTATCAATGAATTACTATAAGATATAAAAAGTTCATGAAAGGATATAAATAAAACAATGAAGAAAATAAATAAAACAATAGAAAAATACCAAATCCAATTTGTTGAACTTAATTCCTGGAAATTTAGCACACCACCTTTGTTTCTCTAGCACAACTTCATGATCAGAAAT